AAAAAAAAACAAAAAAACCAAGGCTCAAGATTTTATGACATATGGCATCCACTTCCACAATAGCTTGCCTCTGGAAACCCTATGAACCTGGAGAAAGGACGAAAGTTATACATGAGGTGTCCAGGAATTTCGTTCATGTGGTCGCTATGATTTGCCTGTGACTTGACGGCTCTTAACACCAACAACAACAACAACAGCATAGAGAGAGAGAGCAGTTGGCCTCACAGACAGAAAGCCATGCTCCCAAGCCAAAGGTGGGTGACTCTAGTCCACAGGCCTCGGCCTGCCTTAATTGTTTTTGGTGATATATTCTTCGAGGTCATGTAATCCTGGTCTGTCCACTTGCTGTACAGAGGTAACTCATGGTTGCTGTGAAACCTAACATTGTGACACTGATGAGTCAAATGCAAGAATGGTTACCCATGGTGGACAGTGTTTAGTGAAGCTCCCCGATTAAAACAAGCTTGGAAGCAGGAGTGGCAGCCACTTCCACAATAGCTTGCCTCTGGAAACTCTATGAACCTGGAGAAAGGACGAAAGTTATACAGGAGGTATCCAGAACTTTCGATCATAGGGTCGTTATTAGTCACCTGAGACTCAATGGTGCTTAACAACAAAAACAACAACAACATCAGTTGACATGTTTCAGCAAATAGATACTGGCCTGGACGTGCTCACCAGGTTGTGCCAAATATCTGGAGGATAATTACCTGGCCAATTGATTGGAAGAGAACCAGATTTATTCCCATTAAAAAAAAAAAAAAGGTGACTCAACAAAGTGTGGAAATTATCAGATAATATCATTACTATCACACCCAAGCAAGATCCAGTTGAAGATTATCCAGAAATGACTGGAGCAGTACATCAAGAGAGAATTGCCCCACGTGCAAGTAGGCTTTAGAAGAGGACTCAGCCTTAGCTCGGCTCAAAACTTCCCCTGCTCAAGCCTCTGCCCAGCCACCTTGCCCTCCCAATCCATCTGTGCATGCCAAATAACACACAGATTCAAGAAGTTCTATTGTATCAATTGGCAGTCAGTGACTCCAAATTCCTAAATTCCAAAGAATGAGCAAACAGAACAAAAGAAACTCTCACTTTAGTTACTATTAATGGATCACTGTGGTGTTAGGACTTTTAAAAATGGGTTTTATATCCATTATCTTAGCCCCACTTCGGGGCATGATTTCCAGCTCCTTCAATTATAAACACATGGTTCATCTATCAGCTGGTGTTGTTATGTGCCATCAAGTCGCCTGTGACTCATAGCGACCCTATGTAAGCCCTGCTCTATCCTGTGCCAATCGCACTGTTTCCAACACATCTACCTCAATTACCCCAGTCACTAAATGAATCCACCTCAAAGAGGGTCTTCCTCTCCTGCACTATCCCTCTACCCTCCCAAACATGATGTCCCTCTCCAAGGATTGGTTGTTCCTTGCAACATGTCCAAAGTATGTCAGATGAAGCTTTAGAATTCTTGCCTCCAAGGAGCAGCCTGGTTTAACCCTCTCTAGAATGAACCTGTTCATTTTCTTAGCAGTCCATGGTATATTCAATACTCTTCTCCAACATCACAGCTTAAAGGCATTAATTCTCCTTCTATCGTCCCTAGTCATTGCCCAGCTCTCTAGCGCATAGCAAGTGATTGCAAAGACCATGGACTGTATCAGGTGCATCTTATTCTCCAGAGCGACATCATTGTTCTTCAATACTTTAGAGAGGTCTCTAACAGCAGACTTTCCCATTGCAATATATCTTTTGATTTTCTGGCTGCTGGTGCCAAGAGTGTTGACTGTGGAGCCAAGCAAACTAAAGCTGTTAACAGTCTCAATCTCTTCACCATCTATGAACTAGCAACTTGAATATCATCAAGAGCTGCAAGGCCAGCGTAAGAGAGAGCTAAGGCAAATGTAGACACTACAGCAATATATAGACTGACGGAGCCTTGGAGACAAGCCAGAGTTAAACATTTTGTTTGCAGGATGATTGAAGGAAACCAGAATTTCCTTGCATTTGTGTTGCTGGACTGAACCTGGACTTTTACTGTGTGATACTCTTTGCTTTCCTTTCACTCCACAACCCGTTTCTCTAATAAATCTACAACTTTTGCAACAAATATCAGATCTGGTGTTTGGGACAAGTGGGTGCAGCAGAGTTGAGGGCCATATCTGACTGTGTGGCTATTATTTTGGTACTATGGATGTTGTTGATGGGGACAGTTCCCTTTTCTGGAGCTAGTGGAAATCAGACTTTGCTACTCTCATGTTGCTTCTGCTCCTTTTACAAACACAGTCCACTTGAGAGTACTCAAGTTCTCTACAAATGCATTCTCTTTTATTTCTTTCAACAAACCCAATACTAATTAGTCACATGATAGATTTCTTGAGGATTTTTTATCTTTTTAATTAATATCAACTTTATGTAGAGATTGATAAGACAGTAGTTTGCTGTGATATCCAAAGCAACAATCCTCTGCACACCTTTGAATATGACTTCAGTCCTTTCTAAATTTAGTTATCCTAGTGAGCATCTTTGAAACCATAAACAAATTCATGCCCTTCTCTTCTGATTTCTAAATTTCAGATATTATTTAAACCATAATTCAACTCTTTAGAATGGAGCCCTACAGGATTTCAGTGGCTTTTTCCTTCACCCACAGACCACCAGTCCTTTCTTCCAAGGGACCAGTGAGTGAGTTGAAGCTCCTAACCTTTCTGTTAGAAGTTGGTCACACACTTTGCAGCACCCAGGGTACCAGATAAGATCTAACAACTATTGACTGCCAAGAGAATAAACAAATCTTTCTCAGAGGAAGTGCAGCCAGGGTGCTTCTTAGAGGCAAAGAAGGTGAAACTTCATCACACATACTTTGGGTATGTAATCAAGAGGGGCCAGGCTTTAGAAATGAACATTATTCTAGGAAAGCTGAAGGGTCAAATAAAGAGAAGAAGATCTTCAACAAGCTGAAGATTGACACAGTGACTGTAACTATGGGCTTGAGCAAATCAGTAATTGAGCCATAGCACAGGATAGGGCAAGGTTCAGATGTTTCTTATAGGGTCTCTATAACTTGTAGTTAACGTAACAATAACTAGCAATAACAACATGAAAGATGAGGAATTACTTTATTTCCTTTTCCCTCATACTAGTATTTTTTTATTGTTTTTCATTTGGCTCTCTTGGTACTTTTAAAGGTGCGTTTAATGAAGGAGGTGTTATAAGGATTCCCATTCTATTGAATTCCACTGACTTGCTCAAGGTCACACAACTAAGAGTGGCATATTTGCAACCAAGCTTTCTCTGATTTTTCCACTCCAAAAATTTGTGCCGTTCCAAGCCCCTGCACATTTATGCTAAGTATAGAACATATACTTAATTGTTCATTCATTGAGTCAGTCCAATATATCTCCTGAGGGCTTATTTGGTTCCAAGTTCTGTCCTGGGTGAGGAGAGTCCACTGATGGCAAAAGCTCTGCCATCACAGCTTTTTTTCTTTTCTCCAGACACTCACCTTGAACAGCACACGCACCTCCTGGTCCTCATTCTCAAGCGCCCACAGTCTCCTCCTGGCAGCTTCCTGCAAACGGCCATTTACACATCTTTTTGAGCGACTCTTTACACAGAAAGAAAGTGTCAGGTCTGAAATAGAACAAAGGAGAAAGATCAGGATAAAGATGTAATAAGAGGAGAGAAAGAATTAGGTAAGCCTCTAACATTTCTTATATATGTTTACTTAAACTCTAAATTGTGTTCTTTCTAATCAAAGGTTAAAGGTTGGTGGGTTAGAAGCTCTGGTGGCTTAATGGTAAGAAGCTGCACTGCAATCCCAAAGGCATGCACTTCAAATTTACCAGATATTCTGTGGGAGAATGGACAATCTCTTCTCATGAAATAACAAGAGTCCAGAATGAAGATTGCATAGCAGAGTGTACTGGGGGGAGGGGTGGGCAAGGAGAAAAATGCAACAATGAATGAACTAAAATCCAAAATCTCTGAAATGTTCATTAAAATTAATAAAATAAAATTTTAAAAAATTATTTATTTCAGCAGGGGAAAAAAAATCATTGTTCTTGAGTGCTGCATAGTATTCCACTGTGTGAATGTACCACAATTTCCAAATCCATTCACTTGTTGATGGACATTTGGGCTGTTTTCGTTTTCTTGCTATTGTGAATAACACTGCTACAAACTTTGGTGTACAAATCTCTGTTTGTGTCTCAGTTCTGTTTACCTCAGTATATTCCTAGCAGTGGAATAGCTGGGTCATATAGAATTTCTATGTTCAGCTTTTTGAGGAAATGCCCAACTGCATTCCAGAGTGGTTGTTCCAGAGTTTCAATCTCTCCACATCCTTTCAAACATTTTATTCCTTGCTCTTCTGTTAAACTTTGCCACTGATACTGGGGTAGACAGTAAAACAAACAAACAAAAACCGAAACAAAAAATCAAACCCATCAGTGGGTCGACTATAATGAGTAGGTTCTGACTCCACAGCACACAACAACAACCAGAGGTTATAAGTGACCTTATTGATCACTTGAGTTCCCTTTAGAACTAATCTCCCATGAAAAAGACTTTAAAAAGAAAATAAAAGCTGAAGGCTAGGAAGGTACTAGGGCTTGACATCGGTCATTTCTGCTTTGCACAGGTGTTATTCCTACACTGCTTCACACTGATCTAATGGTACAATACAGAAACAACTAGGATGTGTATTTCCCTTTGTGAATAATTTATGAAAGGTTTTAATAAATACTACTTTATTTTTAAGGAAATACATTTATATACAAATTATAATATGCAATCAATTTCACAAACTTGTGTGCATTATACACACACACATACACACACTTATTCATATTCATTAGGGTGACTCAAGTAAAGTTCATATTGAGACATTTTTAATGATTCAAAAGCTGTTTCTGGTGCTGGGAAGATGGCAAGGAAAAGGTCAATAGAGATCCAGTTTTCATTGAGCTTATATTCTACTTAACATAAACAATAAACTATATAACCATTTACAAAAGCCAAATAGCTTCAGATAGGGAAAAATATGATGAAGAAAAGATTTATAAGGCTTTGAAAGACTGGTGATGAAGGCCAGGTACACTTGCAAATAGTATTGTCAGGAGGCACTCCACATAGTGTTCTTTTTTAGAAAATAAGTATTGTATTGTTGTTGTTAGGTGCCATCTTGTTGTTGTTTGTTGTTGTTGTTGTTATTATGGGCCGTCGAGTCACTTGTGACTCATAGCGACCCTACGTACAACAGCTCTAAACCCTGCTCTATCCTATGCCAATCGCACTGTCTCTGACACACCCAACCCAATTACCCAAGTCACTGAATCAATCCACCTCATAGAGGGCCTTCCCCTCCTGCGCTGTCCCTCCACCCTCCCAAGCATGATGTCCCTCTCCAAGGACCAGTCTCTCCTT